CTCCTACCCAACCCTACCTGCACTCCACCTTGCACCCAGCACCCCCTCGCACCCTCTAGCACCCTGCTCACCCCCATGGCTCCCTGTCCCTCTCCTGTCTCTCCTCTCTGCTGTGCCATCAGGTCCGTCAGGGCCACATGGCCCACATGGTACCAGCTGCATGTTGGGGTCCGCTGGGGCTGGCAGGGAGGGGAGAGCACAGTTCTGCACCCAAACCAGTGGGGACTGCTGAGGGTCCCTTCCCTGTCCTTGGTGCAGGGAAGGGACCAGCACTGACACCCTGTGCACTCTGGGTTAAGAGGGTCTCTGTCTCACAGGAGGTGGGTTATACCAGACAGGACACATGTGCTGATGAGGAGCAGGGACATGGATCGTGGCATCAGCGTGCAGAACCCCTATGCCAGTGTCAACATCCCATGGGACCAGTTCCAGCAAAACTTCATCAATCACTACCTGAAGGATGAGACCACCATCATTGCCAACCCTGCAGCTGTGCCCACCTACAGCCTGGAGAAGGAGGATCTCAATGGCTTCTGGAGCAGTCCAACCATCTCCACGGATAAGTCCTGGTCCCGTCCCTACAACCCCTATGGCAGCCTGAGAATGCCCAATGGGGAATCATCTGCCTCCTTCTACACTGTCACCCTGGACAAGCCACCCAGGGGCCAGGAGCAGGGGGCTGGCAGGCGATGTGGCTGCTGCAGGTGCCGTCCCTGCTGCCGAAAGTGCTGCTGTGTCATCTCCTAAGGGCTCTCCCTGCACCCACAGGACCTGCTGACCATGGGATGGGGCCAGGCAACCCCATGGGGACATGGCTGCTACTGGCCTGGGCACCCCAGGAAGCTGCCCCAGCCCTTGGCAGAGCTGGCAGTTGGAAGCTGGCACTGGCTGGATGTTTCTGTTACTTTTCACCCTTGAGCTCTGCAGCCAGATATGCTGGTGATGGGCACCTACCACATCCTGAGAGCTCAGTGTGAGCTTGGGAGCCCTGAGGATGATGTTTGCCAAGGAAGATGCCACCAAAAAGTGCCAATGATGGGAAAAGGGCAGCACTTTGAGCTTGTGATCCTGCACAAGCTTGTGATCCTGTGTGTGTGGCAGAGGAGGACTTCATTGTCTTGGAGTGGTGGAGATAGCCAGGGACATGCCTCTAGCTGGGATGGGGGCCCACCTCTCCAGAACTGAGCAGTGCCCTCACCCCTGGCATTAATGGGGATGCTGCAGCACCAAGCTCCAGCTGGCTCCTGCTCCTCCTTGCCACACTGTCCATGGGGCAGAGGGAGGGAGGCAGGAAGAACAGACAGCCAAAGCATGACAGAGTGCTGGGCAGTGCTCCAGGACAGCACCTGACAGCACAGCATGGGTGTGGGTGTTAACATCCTGGCGCCAGGAAACCCCCAACCCCATTTGGTTCCTCCTGTGAGGTGCCAGGCACAAACTCTCGCCCCATCCACATCCCAGAGCACTGGGGCTGGGTCCAGTGTTGGAGGGCTGGCCCAGCTGCAGCAGTGGCGTAGCACTGGGGCACCTTGTTGAGGATGCAGACCTTCATCTGCAGCACCCTGAGCATGGAGAAAGGCAAACAAGGAGCCTGTCGGCTCTTCCCAGCGTCTGAGGTGGCTCTGGGTTGGGCTTTTGGCTGGGGCTGGCGCCATCGACCTGGAACAAGCCTGTCATTGTGTTGACGTCTCGCTGTGGTGTTGACGTCCCACCACGATTCTGGCATCCTGCTCTGGTGCTGGCATCCCTCTGTGGTGCTGGTGTCCCAGTTGTGTAAGCCCTCTGGCTGCTGCAGAACAGCCTGGACTGAGGGAACAGAGGCTTGGGAAGAGTGCCTGTGTTAGCAGATGACTTCAGGATACTGCAAATAAACTTAGAGCCATCTCCTCCCCTGCCAAGGTGTGCCTTTTCCCTCCGCTCTGGATTTCCTGGGATTCCCGTGTTGCTTCTTGCTTATCCTGGCAGCTTGTGTAAGGGCAGAGCAGAAGCCTCCAACCAGGCTTAACTGTTGCACTGCTGACTCGTGGCAGTAGCAGTGTCACACTGAGCTGTCCTGCTGGCTGCTGCCCCGCCCCCCGCCTGCCAGCCTGGATCCAACACTGCCTGTGCCCAGGCATTGCCGGTCCAGCCTCTCCTGCTTGCCTGGGGACACTGGCTGGTGCCCAGCCCCGCTTGTCTTTTGGAAAGACTTTGGGAGTCTTTGGGAGGGGCTGGGGAAGGGGGTAGGTTCCTGGCTGGGTCAGTTGGGTGGGGTTTGGGACACTGCTCTGGCTGGATGGGCCACCCTGGGAGTCTGTCAGCACTGGGAGCCCACCCAGTGCTGGGACCCGACCAGTGCTTGGAGCCCACCACTACTGAGATCCCACTGGCACTGGGATCCCACCAGGACCGAGAGCCTGCCAGCACTCAATCC